TCGCTTAACTTATTCGTTGCATTTGTGCTTGTTGCTCATGCCTTCTGCTTCCTGTGTTTCTCTCATATCTTGGTTTCGTCTGAGCCCTTTGACCGCTTGTGATAAGCGTGCATGCTCCATGGCCTGTCGCCCTGAACCCAGACGTGGCTTGTGGCGTGCAGACTTGCTGACAAGTAGTTGCCTGAAGTCCCTTAAACCCTAAACCCTAAATTTCTTCTGGTCGGTTGAAGCTGTCCAACCAGCAAAGTCATCAGACCAATGACCCAAGAGGAGCACGCCACTCGTGACTTGCCACAGGTTGGAGCTTTGAGTGGTTTCTGAGGCAGAGGTCTGAACTCTTTTGTTCTGCGCTGTTGGCTTCTCGTTCTTGGGGAAGTCATTAGTTATGGGCGATTGGTCACGACTCAGTCACAACTGGCGTTCAATCATTCGTTGCCAGTTGTTCATGTTCATCGATGCTCTTCTCCTAAACTGGTCGGTTCTTGATGAAGGAGTGTTCATCGTTAAGTGCTAATTCTCCGCTTCAAATATCATGATTTTCTGAGTGCTGGGCCGAACGCATCGCAAGCATCCTGGCTCGGGGAGGTTCAGGGTTGAGGGTGCAGGGTGGCGTAGGCTGACGCAGGGTGACGAAGGGCGACGTAGCGTGACGTAGGGTGATGTAGGGAGTAGGGCAGTTCAGAGGGTTTGGAGTTTCACGTTTTAGGACAAAGTTCAGCGCTTGGGTCGCAAGGCTTCAGGTGTCGGGTCATCCTGAGTGCTCATCAACTGCTCAACCAAAACTCTACGTCTCATAGTAACCCAAAGTAACTTCCCAAGACGGCCTCTAGATCAGCCCCCCAAAGTTTGTATCTGTCTTCGATACCACCCTGTATCCCTGAAGTAGGAACGTAGGAATGCCTGCGAATCGAAAGAATTGGCAGCCCCAACCCCAAACTTCCCCAAAACACACTGGGCATGTATCAGCTAGATCAGATATTTATTGTCATGTATAAGGTTTACTAAACAATTGTCAATCTCTTTACACAAACAAACGGCATCTTCGTATGTGTATGTATCAGGCATACGCTTTACATCAACGGCGTACGGTGTGCATGCACCCAGTGGCAGCAGCCTTTGCGGCTCCGCTGGCCAGGAGCGCCTTGACAGGGATACCCCCTTCACCACAAGAGCACGTTGTTTTTTTCCCGCCCGCATAGCCGGACGGACCACTCAGCAGGGATACACGGGCTTCGGGCTGACAGTTCCCCAGAAGCCAGGAATCATCATTCATGGGGCTACGGCACGGGCACGTGTCTGGGCGTCTCCCCAAAACCCTAAACCCTACTAAACCCTTTTTGGGGGCTGTTGGCGTGGGCAAGCGGGTCGGTCTGAGATTGTCTTGAGGCTTTGGGGTTCTTCTCAAAGACTGAGCTTCAGGGCTCCGGGCTTCAAGTCAACATTCACAGATGCACTTTGGGACGTAGGACCCGACTTTAGATTCAAAGGGGATAAGGTAAAGAGACAAACCTCCTTTTGGTTCCCTCTCATACTAATGGGGATGAAAGCGCTCCCTGATGTCATCCTTATTGGGACTGTTAGTAACTATCAGGGGGAACATCTCAAATGTTCCTGTAAGAGCCCAAAACCCCCTCCGATCCTGACACCTGCGTTGTGAGTCCAATCCATTGCTCACCTACTGGGAATTAAGATTCAAGAGGTCAACTTCTTGTTGCCTTACAGTTTAGGCTTTTCTGTCTTGCTGCCACCCGCATGGCTTAGGTCTAACCCTCTGTCACAAACTGCTTCCGCAGACCCCGCCGCCCTGGCGGGTTTAGGGCTTCGGGTTTAGGGTTTAGGGTTTAGGGTTTCCTGAATGCCAAGCCTCCAAAGACATCGAAACTACCAAACACCCTGAGAGTCATGGCCTTCACCGCCTCGACTTGCCCATTCCTGGCTGCGATGTGTAGGTCCGTGCCTTCGTCCAGGCCGTCAAGAAGGGCAATGTGAGAAAGCATTTCGAGGTTTGGGCGTAGTCTCGGGGTCCTTCTGAGGGATGGAAGCTCACTTGCTTGATTGCTGCTTGTGTGCTTCTTCGGTGCCTTTGAGTTAGCTGCTCGGAAATGTGATTTCGGACTTCTTCGGTTTCAAGGAAAGGCAGGACCTCACCAAGTGAGGCCAAAATGGAGTATCTGAAACAAATTGAGCCATCGCCCCTTTCGTTGACGACATGTTGGCCTGCCCAGCCTGACCTTCATGGGCTCTCCTTCCACCAACTGGAAGTGGGCACAAAGTATGAATCATTAACCTCCAGTGCCTCAACCCCACTCCTCGGACCTGACATGCCGCACTGAGTTTTGGAAGGCTTTTGATGTGCACGGTTCAAGAAGGATGTCCTGAGGTGCAGATGCAGTATGCTGGGCTCCTGGCCAGTGTCCTGGCAGCACATGTGGCAGACAGCTGTGTGAAGTGGTTGGGTGTGGATGAAGCCCGTAAACCCGAAGCCCTAAGCGGCCTCAACTCTGAGCATGAGCTACATCAATCAAAGCGCCGTCCAGCACTATAGTACAAGATGTCATCCCCCATTGAACCCTAAACCCTAAACCCTAAACCCTAAACCCTAAACCCTAAGCCCTCACCCTGTTGAACCTAAAACAGAGCCCCCCATGTCCCAGGTTGACTATGGTGGGCTTCGGAGTTTCAAAGGGGCCCCCCTTTTGCAGGGGAGTCTTGATAGTAGACTCATGGTTTAGGGTTGTGACATCTTCAGTGCCCGGAGGTTCAGGCAACACGCCAGAGCCTGGCTGTTCATGGAGGTTAACGGGGAGATATCCTAGGTAGGATGGCCTGGGTAAGCACAAGAAGAATAACCACAATGACGATGACCACCCTTTGAACCCTACGGTCTTTTTCGAAGGGTCAGTGTAAGGGCTGATTCTAGGGCCGCAATAACGTTAATGGGGTTCCGGGGCAGGGGGGGAGGGGGGCAAATATTATAGTTGTGACCAGAAGGGAATTTGTTTAGTAATTACCCTAAACCCTCAACCCCTGTTAGGGGAGTCCTCGGCCGCCAGTGGGTTGAACCGCAGCACAGCGGGAGCAGCGGTCTGGTCGTTGCTGCGCGTGTCCCAGATCCTCAAGTCAAGGGCAATTCGCCACCGGACCTTTAGGTTTTTTCAGTTTAGAGTTAAGGGTTTGAAGTTCAGGGTTTAGGGTTTGAAGTTTAGGGGCTAAGGTTTGGGATTGGAGTTTAGGGTTTAGGGTTTGAAGTTCAGGGTTTAGGGTTTGAAGTTTAGGGTTTAAGGTTTGGGGTTGGAGCTTAGGGTTTAGGGTTTGGGGTTGCTTGGTTTCTGGCATGTCTGGGATGCTTACACCTATAGGTGTCAGAAGGCAGCCATCGAGGTAACCCGACTCACAACCGCATCTTAATAGTTACCCCATGTTCATGTTTCTGGCAAGCTATTAGGGACATCAGGGACTCACGATTCAGAGGTGCCGCAAGCCAATGAAGCTTCACGAGCCGCTCCCGGACCAGTCTTGGAGGTTTTGTTTTCTGGGAGTGGTAGATCTTGGAGGGCTTCTTGGGATCTTGGCATGGTTTTGTCTGTAGAGTTCTTAGGACGAGGACCCCATAACAAATGTAGGGATTCGCAATTTATATATATATATACATATATCTACATTTCTCTCTCTCTCTCTGCCTATATACGAACACATGCCACGTAGATACCTTTGCATCACACATCCCCTTCCTTTGCCTTAGTATCTGGCCCTCAGGAGCCTCTGACAGACCTTTTGAGCACCGCATGCAGCATTCCACAAAAAAGACTCAGGTAGGGGACCCGCTGAGACCCTGAAATTTTAGAGGTTAGGTTTGATGCTACTGGCTTAGGAACCAACCGTAATTCTCAAGCCAGGATCGTGGAGGTGTGCTGGTAGGTCATCTCCTTAACCGGGGCCGCTCCTCCCGCAACTGCCGGCTTCTTGTGCATAACCTGGAAGCTTCTGGGGGCTTCAGCACACTCCCCATAAAAAAACTCAACATGGAGGGCTTTGTGGGGAGCCTCTTTGAGGAAGCTAGGTTAAGGGCTGCCAGGAGCTTCGCTGCGAATGAATGGAGGGCTTCGGTCTTAAGTTCGAGGCCTTTCATACAAGCAAAGTTTCTTGGGGGTTCAAGGCTAAACCCTAGGCCCTAACCCTAAACCCCAACTCCTAAACCCTAAACCCTCATGATCAAGGCTCCCTATATGACTTCAAGACTGAAGGCTTGACCCCCCCCCCCATGCATGAGCTGCAGGAGGAGGCGGAGTCAAGCTCCTCCTCCCCATCTTGGGGTCTACGAGAGTAGGGGACCCCTAAACAAGACCCCCGCCAAATTAGCAGGATTCCCTTTAGAATAAGGACCCCAATAAGGTACCCCGAATTTCGGAAACCACCATCTCACTCCTCTTCCGATGCCATTGCGGCTCGGTTGGGCAAAGTAGGGCCAGCCGAAAGGACACGGTGAAACACAAGCCTCCTGGAAACAAACCTCTAAATCCTAAACTTCCCTAAAAACCCTCTAAACCCACCCCTCCCCCCCCCAAAAAAAAAAAAAAAAAAAAAAAGACCTGAGCCTTAAACTTCTTGAACCCCATGAAGCCATGCAATTTAGGGGCCTGAATAATTGGAACAGGGTTTTGGGGATTATGATCGTACAATTACAAAGGGCCCATATGGGAACATTATTGGTAATCATTCCGACCCCTGGAGCAAACACGGCCCAAGCGCCTCCTTAATCCGATGCTTCTCCTCTGGGATGGGGCCAAGTGCCTCCTCTGCCGCCTGAATGGGGCGTTTCAAGAATTTGGGTGGGGGGGGGAGGGCTCCATGTTTGCAGCGCGTCTTTATCTCTGTTTTTTTTGGAAGGGGTGGGGGGGGGGGGGGGGGGTGGGCCGAAATTTCGCGCATTTGGCAGTTTAGGGCTATAGCCTGTTCAGTATGGAACACCTGTATCCTAGCGGTCCTAGCAGCCTAGCAGACTAGGGCCCCTGGACTTGCCAGCAAAACAGTACAGAAGATGCCTTGGGATTGAGCCATCCGTCCTCTGACGTGCCCGGGTTATCCGCGTGCTCCGTGTGCTCCACGTGCTCGGGCTCGGCGGCCGTGTCCGCAAGCGCTTCAGGCGCTTCAGGCGCTTCCGGCTGCTTCGCTTGGCGCGTGCTGTCCACGGCATCTTTGTGGACGATGGCCGCCCCCTTCTGTGCGAGACTCACCCGCCGTGCTTCGAACTTGGCCTCTTGGAACTGCACCACGGACAGAAACTCAAGCCAACCCCCCTCGACCCGCTCATTCACCACGAGGGCCAGCATTTGGGCCCTGGTCAGCCCCTTGTAGAGCTGCGCGCGCGTTTCCAGATCCACCGCACAGCTCTGTATCGGGGCATCCAGCCCGACACAGATCACCACCAGTTGCTCTAAGCCCTCCGCGCTGCTCATGGAGTCCAAGACCAGGTGCTCTTTGGCTTGAGGAGCTTGGGTGGCTGCCAGATTAGGCAGATGGCTCAGGGACTCCCGAAAATCCATCAAGCACAGGTTGCGATGCGGAAGCTCCTCTACTATTTCTTTAAGAACCCTCAAAAAACAAAACAAATCTTCCTTATAAGGGAAATATAGGGATTATTGTCTTCTTTTTCTTGAGGGGGTTTCTTAAGCAAACAGGAGTCCTCTCTCAGTCGTTTCTGCAAAATGGGCCGCAGCTGGAGGCAGAAGGCCTCGTCTGGCGTCAGCAAGGCCACGCGCTTGTGCAGGCTGGTGCCGGGGAAGCTGTGCACCACGTGCCACAGGGCCGTGACGACATGCTTCGCATACTCCTCGAAGCGCTGAGAGGGGTCCGACAGGTTGAAGATGAAGGATTTGAGAGGGGGGCCATCCGTGCTCAGAGCTGTCGCCACGTCAGCCATACCCGAATCAAGGCGGAAGGCAGCAGAACCAGCAACAATGCGCTTGGTGCTCCGCAGAACCTGTGTCAGCTTGACTGTCTGAATGCCAGGCCATGGGTAGGTCTGCTCGACAGCAGATGACTGTGACGCATCGGAGCACAACAGCCACTGATCACACACGATGCTTTCTAGACGCGGGAAGACGGCAGAGTCGGGCCGAAAGACCGAGTGAGCCTCGTCCACGACTGCAAGCTGGAAGTGCTCCGTGCAAGTGCGCTGAGAGCAGATAATGCGCCCCTGACTTACACTTGGCCAAAGAAGTTCTTCATAGGGACTGTGTAGCAAAGCGACTCTTTGAATCCAGGAATTCATCTTGCTTTCGCTCGGCCGGCCCTTCCCAGTTCGACGCATGGCCAGCCACTGGAGGACGTGAAGCCCCAGGGCAGAAGAAGGCGCGACGTACAGGACTTGAGCTTGCGAACTGCTCTGGAGCTCGTCGAGCAAGCGATGGACAGCCAGGAAGGTCTTGCCTGCACCTGACGAGAAGAAGAAGGGCTTCCCTAACCTGTTCGTTTCAGGTGCGGGGGGGGGAGGGGGGGGGGGGGGGTCGCGGAGGAATGATTAGTGATGACGTGGACTTGCCGAGTTTTTGGATTTTGATGGAGTTTTCCAGGGCCGGGTCCGGGCCCTTTTATGAACCCTGGATTTCGTGGACCCTAAACTGGCCCTAAACCGTAAACCCTAAACCCAAATCCCTAAACCCTAAACCCTAAACCCGGTGCTCCTGCGACGGCGGCGAGGTGCACATGCCTGGCGCCTTCCATCGCGCGGAGCGCCTGCTCCTGTAGGGAGGTCAGCTGGTCCATGCTCAGCAGACTTTGCCTGAACCGCAGGGTTTCGGGTTTATGGTTTGGGGTTTAGGGATAGTATGAACAAATGATCATTTCCATTCCTGGTTGGTTTTAATACCCATAAAAATGTAAAGAATGATCTTCAACAATGACCCAGTTGCTCATAGAGCTCCAAGAAGCGTGCCTTCTCAACTTGCACCTCCCGGGTCACCCCTTGAAGCTTCAAGGCTTCGTTGACGGCCTGCTCAAAGTCACCACTGAGGACTTGGTCTCTGAGGGCATGTAGAGCCAGAACTGCAGGGATCCGGATGCCAACTTCTAGTGCAGGGAGACCTGCGCGGTTTTTCTAGAGTTGCAGCCCCCGATTTCAGACATCCCTCGAAGAAAGCCGGAAGACCTGCGGCGGGTGGTCCCTGAAAAGAATATCAATGAGTAGAACAGAGCCTTACTTCCTTGGGGAGCCCAGACTACCAGAACCAGCTTTGAACACACTAAGCTTGAACTGCCTCTACGATTCCGCCTGCCCAGAGCAAGGCAGTTCTTCTCGTTTAGTTTAAGGACCGACTCTTGAGGAGAACCTTCAGGTTTTTTTTCGCTCCTGGAAAGCTGGCCGAAGCGCAGGCGTTTAAGTCTGCTGCCCCTGGAGGGAAAATTTGGTTATTTTCAGTATCGTTCAAGGATCGACTGGACCTTACCCTCACACCGTGTAGTGTAGGTCAAGGGGTGTCAGCCGAGGCGTTGCAGGCCGGCTCCATGCGTACCCAGTAGGAACGCCTGCGACCCGTATAGCTGACCTCCAAACTCCTGGCAATATCCTGCACCCTTAAACCCTTGACCCATAAGGCCCCACTCCCCTCCCCCGCCCCAAACAAGCAAGACCCTAAACCCTAAACCCTAAACCCTAAACCCTAAACCCTAAACCCTAAACCCTAAACATCTGGCACCTGTTTGAAGCCTCGAGGGTCGGCAACCCAGCAACTTAATGCCATCGGACAGGCACTTCTCCAAAGACCGGCAGAGAGCGTCCAGACCTCAGGTGGGTCAAGGCCCAAGGCCCAAAGGAACATGCACCAAACAGTCAGCAGTAGGACGTAGCTAAGTAGCAACTCCTAAGACAAGACGTTCGTCGCATGACTTTCTTGCGGTAGAGGGGGTTCCCTCAAGCGTTGCCATGGATTCACTTTGCGTAGACGAAATCCTAACTCAGCGCCTGGAGAGCCCGATCCCACGGCTCTCCAGGTTTCTAGGGTTTTGGGGGTTTAATGGGTTTAAGGCTTTTCGGGAATTTAGGACTTAGTTAGTTCTTTCTGGGAATGTGAGTATTCCGTGCTTAGCTGTTCGATGGTGAGTAGTGTTGGGGTTGTGCTGGCGCTAAGGCTTCAAGATTTTGCAACAACTCAGTCTCTTTGGAATAGTTCGGGGTTTGTAGGGTCTGTGTAGAAACTGGACACCGAAAAGTGGACCGCGCATGCAGGAAAACAGACACCACCTACGTGCCCAAACAACGAAGGGCGAGCAAAGAAAGGACGACAACCACCGCCAGCTGAGCCATGATCAAGTCAGTTTCCGTTACTAGATACTTTTTTGTTTGGTTGTTCCATGCCTTTGCATGGAAACAAAAACCATGGTTGAGGACAAGCTTCAAAAACGAAGTGCCCCCGATTTCACTTTCAGCCGGTCTAGTGGACAAAGAACTTAACACAAAGTCCAGCTCTCCCTCCGTACCCTGGCCTCTCCTGAGGGCAGGGCCGCCCAACTCCACGACTTCGTCAAACGCTTGACTCGCGTGGCGGACATCCCCAGCATCGACGGTTGCCCCAGTCCTCTCCACCGCAGCGAAGCCGAAACGCTCCAAAAGCCCTTAGGCCCCTTAGGGTTTCAGGGTTTTGAGACCCTAAAACAAACCCTAAAACCCCTAAACCCCTAAACCCCCAAATCCCTAAACCTCTATAACCCTCCCCTAGGTACACGCAGTGTTGGGGCAACTCCGAGGAGGGTCAGTTGGCCTTTTTTGGGGATCTTTGCTTGCTTTGGGCTCCTGAAGGGCGCCTCTTTTCTTTTCTGGTTCATCCCTGACTTTTGAAATTCGGTTACGTGTGCCCTTCTTTGTGGCTAATCTGTGTCTTTTCGTGTTGGTCTGTTTGCGTTGGTTATCCCTTGCCTCCTCTCTTTAAAAGACAATTTCGCCCATCTTGAGTAAAAGCCAACAGGGGAAGTCTGCCCGGGAAGTCCTGTCGCATCTTACCCGCCACAAGAGGATGCCCTGCGAAGGATCTGCCACCTTCTGCTCCAGAACTGTACCTCGGTGGGCCCCTGAGCAAAACCTTCCGAACGAGTATTCCTGCTTTCAACCCTCTTAAATGAACCTTAAAGAGGAAAATAATAAGAACATAACAAAACTGCCCTTTAAGACTTACAAGGGCCGACCTCGGTACCTCTCTGCCAGTCCACGCCCAAGCCTGGATCCGCCGGCAGAAAGTCGACCCGGCAGCCGGGCGAAAACTCATGCTGTAGGAACTCTGAGACGTCAATCTCCTGTTGCACTTACCAGAAGTCACGCGCAAGCGCGCGACTCCAGAAAAAAAGGCGGGGCGCTCCCTCTCTCCCTCTCTCTCTCTCCCCCTCTCTCTCTTTCCGCTCTCTCTATGGGCTTCCCTTTTCTAGCGTGATGTCGGAACATGGTGCAAGCATGCAGAGCCGTCTCCTCATAGTCCCATCCCATCTCATCGGCCGTCGCCAGCTCGCACTTCTGCGAGCCACCCAGGCCGATCCCATCCCAGAGGTTTACCAAGTCGTTGCGCAGCTCCTGCATGCTCAGCCTCAGTGCCCCCCCCCAACAGAGTGAGCCTCCCTCCCCCCACTCCCCCCGTGCCCCCCCATTGAGAGAAAAATACTGATCACAGTGAGCAGATTTTACCCTACAAACTGACGAACCAAAGCTCCGGAAAAGGAGTTGAGAGAGAGAGGCAAGAGTCTTTCCATGTCCGCACTGGCCTGGAAAGAACACTGCTTTCCTTGCTGCTTCAGCGATCAGGGATAGCCTAACCCTCCCCGCTCCCACGGAGAACCACAAACAGAGGCCGCCTTAAACTTCATATAGCCGCCCTCTCCCTGCCCCACACACCCAAAGTTCTTCCAATGGCTGGACGCGCTTCAATTTCTGGCTTCTGCCGACTGCTTGGCAGACCTGGCTCGGGATTTTAAAGAAGAGACTCGGCCCAGGCAGGGAACGCAAAAACACACACCCCAACAAACACCAGTCAACAAAACGACAAAGGAGGAAGGCCCTTGACCCCCCTCCTCCTCCTCCCCCTCCCGCCTCCCCTTTGGGATGAGATGGCTGAGACTAAGCTTCCCACATGAGCCTCCCCCCAATGGCCTTGTGAAACCACTCGTGATACCACTGGCAACCCCAGGAGGCAATTCGCCCTGCACGGTCCCACTGTCTCGTCGCCTGCTCCTCTTTTCAGATGTTTTTGTTTAGGGTGTAGGTTTAGGGTTCAGGGCTTCTCTTTTAGTTCCTTTCTTGTTCTTTTTGTTGCACTTCCTATCCCCCAAGCAGCAAGAGTCTGTGCGGGGCTTCCTGTTTTGCTTTTGTTGTTTTCTGGGGGTCAGGGGGTTGAGGAGACTGGTGTTGCATACCCGCGGCCTCTGCTTTCTTGCGGTCCTGGGGACTGGCATCTGACCGAACCTCGGGAAAGGGCGAGAAGCCACCAAGAACACTCTCGGGGATCACTGGGGTCTTCCCTATAAACCCTAAACCCTAAACATGGTAGCCCCCAATTTCTGAATCCCCGGCATGTGGACCCCAAAGAACCAAGGAGGCTCTTCTCTCAACAAGGACCGAGGAGCTAGGACTGCGCCCGTGGCCGCTGCCTCCTCTTCGGCTTCTTGCCACTGCTCCTCGGAGTACGGTGGCCTCAGCACCTTGAGGTAGCCAAACTCCTCGGGCCATGGAGGGGGGGGGGGGGGGGGAGGGAAGTCAAACCCTAAACCCTAAACCCTATAAACCCTAAACCCTAAACCCTTGGAACTGAAAGCCTAACTGCCCCAACGAAAGTCCTTCACACAGAAACACTAGTACATGAACGAGCCCAACCCGGCCCAAGCCGCTCCTTCCATCCCCGCTTGCCATAAATTCGCGGGCAGTAGCAGCAGCCCGGGTTGCGCGGGTCCGGTGCATGTTGGCCCAGGCCTTCGTTCTGCAACTGACCCCGGTTCTCAATAGGGAATGAGGGAGAATGAAGGAGTGCACGGAGCAACCAAGGCTGTGACCATCATCTTTGCTGCAAAGGAAGACGCAGGCCACAGAATCTCCGTGATACTCCTTGGTGAGGGCCTCCCAGCCAGAGGCATACTTGCCAGGGAAGGAGATGAAGCAGCTGTCTGCCTCCTCCCGGATATCGCCACGGTATGAGATTTTGCGGAAGCAATCCCCGATTGCCGGCCCTTCCTTCAGTGTCAGAAAGAAGGTCTGCTGCCCTGGTGCTGGTGCTAAAGGTGGCAGGGCTCGGGCTGCCGATGCCGTTTGGTCCGCTTGCGCTGTCGCCGCTGCTCCTCTCCTGTCCTGCATGGCGCAGCGTCATGCAAGTGGCGACCAAATTCAAACAGCGCGGCTGTGGGATTGAACTGGCTGCGCAAGCAGAGACCCTAACCCCTAACCCCTAACCCCTAACCCCTAAACCCTAAACCCTAAACCCTAAACCCTAAACCCTAAACCCTAAACCCTAACCCTAAACCCTAAAACCCTAAAACCCTAATGGCCTCTGGCCTCCAGAGACCTGCGTCCTCATGCCAGGCTCTGAGAAAATTGAAGCCCTCATGGAATCTCCTGCCCTTCCTCCCCCCGGCCCCAGAGCCCATTCCTTCAATTACTTCAACTCCCGGGTTTTTAACATCACCCTAAACCCTAAACCCTCTATGGTTTTTAACATCACCCTAAACCCCTAAACCCTCTATCAAGCCCAAACCCTGAACTTTTGGGCTCCAAGTCCCATTTGCTGGGGGGCCTCTTCTGGTTCACGGCTCGCCCGTGCCTGGAGCCCAGGGGACCCCTTAGGGGACACAAGAAGGGCGTTGACCGAAACGGAGATGTTCGGGTGCAGCAGAGTAATCATGACGAAATGAAAATTAGGGGTCTGCAGGTGTCGGAAAAATTCTCGATGGGTCCCAAAATGGCAGTCGAGAAGCATGAGCCCTAAGCCCTGCCCCTCAACTCCTCAACCCTACGCCGGAACAACCTATCTTGTCACCATATCGTGGCAACAGAGCAACGCAGAAGCTATCAGGTAAGTTCGATGCTTGCTTGAAGGGTGCCTTGAGGAAACAGAGGTGTCTAAGGGCCTTATATGGCGTCATGGCTTCTTCTGCCCAGCGCGTGCATAAAGCAGTCCATTAATTCTACCAGGTTGGGAGACATGGGGATTTACGAATAGAGGGGACCCCAAAAATAGACCTTTCAATAGTAGGACACCCTTATAATAAGGACCCCAAGAAGGTACCCCCCCCCCCCTTAGTATCCTAAACCCCCCGACATCACCATGCAGCACTCGGCTCAAATTTCCAAACCCCACGCGACTCCCAACCGACCTAAGCAGCATCAGAACAAAAGGGCGTCTTTCTCTAGGTAGCCCAGTAGAAAAGGGTGCCCTTTTTGGGGTTAGTTACTTTAGAAGGGAACCTTAAACCAAACAAAGGGAACAGGGTACCACTGGGCTACGAAGTGTTTTTGGAGGGTTTAAAGATGCCAGAATGCCACAGAATGCCATTTAAGGAGCCTGCAGAGCCCCCAATACAACCCAAAAAAACAGCTCGGGGCCTCTTCTTCCAGGAGAGGACGTCCAGGGACTGGGCCGAAGACACAGAGCATTTGGGGAGTGCAAGTGTTAGGGCTTCTTGTTTTTGCCACCCGCCTAGACATCCTCAGTTTGGGTTTAGGGTTTAGGGTTCAGGGTTCAGGGTTTAAGGTTCAGGGTTCAGGGTTTAGGGTTGAGGTTTAGGGTTTAGGGCTCAGGGTTTAGGGCTTTGGAGGGTTTTGGGGGTTTCAGGAGCTGGTGGGGGCTCTGAGGGTTCTGGATTGGGGGTTCAAGCCTAGGCTCAGAAGGTTGGGAGCCAGTGGGGTTTGGGGTCTACACCCTAAACCCTAAGCCCTAAGCCCTAAGCCCCAAGCCCCAAGCCCCAAGCCCTAAGCCCTAAGCCCTAAACCCTAAGCCCCAAGCCCTAGGCCCTAAGCCCTAACCCTGATGAACCCTAAACCCTAAACCCTACCCCCTAAACCCTAAACCCCCCATGAACCTGTTTTTTGTGAGCTAGAAGAATCCGATCACGAGCCTGCGGAAGCGTCCGCAACGCTCCTTGCAGCTGCGCTTGCGCATCCGCCCATATGGCTTCGGCTCGAAGGCGAGGCTGGGCACTTGCCGAATAGGGTTTAGGGTTTGGGGTTTAGGTTTTAGGGTTCAGGGTTTAGGGTTCAGGGTTTAGGGTTCAGGGTTCCGGGTTTTGAATCAGTAAACATTCTGAAGAAGGCTGCAGAATAATAAACACGTTGCACTTACATGAAGCAGCTTGTTTGGACCGCGCATAACATCTTGCGGTCACATGGATCCACATGGCAAGAACAAGGCTACCTGTTTTGAGCAAAACATCAGGTGTAACCCTAAAGTCCCAAATCATAAACTAAACCCTGGCGTGGCCATTCCTTGTATTTTAAGGGACCTGAAGGTCCTGATGGGATCAGCCCTTCTCATGCGCGAGCGAAAACTTTTCTCATCTCTCCCTGACAGGAGTCTACACTAAGGATTGCGTGGCTTATCAGACCCACTCAACGAACCCATCGAACCCATACTCGTGGCTACAAGATTGCATGCGGCTTTACAAATCTTGGATCGCCCAACTTGAACAGCTAAGCTGCTGAATCCCCTGAAGGAGTCCCGGGGCCGCTTCTCTGCGTCCACACTTTGTGCGGAGCGAGAAGACGTGCAAGCTGGACATTGGCAGCATAGCCGGGAACAATCGGGAACATGTCGGGACATTGCCCTAGACGTGAAACGTGTTCAGGAGGGGCAGCAGGTGCAGGTGGCCGTTCTCCCTGGCCAAGTCCTCGGGAAAGTCTCCGCGGGTGTTGGGCAGGGGTGCTTCTGCGCCGAAGTCGAGCAAGAGCTGCATCATGTCCGGGTCCCCAACCATGGCCGCGAGGCCCAGCGGTGACAGGCGGGGAAGCGAGGCGTAGGCGCGGATAAGAAAGGTGCTGGACTGCCTACCCCTGATCATCTCGTATGCAAGGGCTGCCTGGCAGACCCAGTTAAAGAGTCCAGTTGGATTGGTGACTGCGTTCGGGTCCGCGCCATGCTCCAGCAGCAGCCGAACAATCTGCAGAGCTGAGCGGTTCCCCCGCGAGAACAGGATCGCATGGTGAAGCGGGCCTTGGCCCAGGCCGTAGAGAGGTGGGTTCGGGTCGCACCTTGCTTTCAGAAAGGCAGAGATGGTGTCAGAGTTGGCCATGCCACAGGCACCTCCCAGTGGGGTATGGCCCATGGGATCGAAGTGACAGTGCAGGTCTCCCCGTGCCTCTATGATGACCTGGAGCTGCTCTGGAGAACGCACCATAGGTGCAACCGTTGAGCCGTTGCTGGACCTCGCATGCACATCGGCCCGCAGCTCCACGAGGGTGGCCAAGACATGGGGCGGTTGGTGGGACTTGCTCGCGCAGACGATGAGAGGCTGGCCGTCGAAGTATCCCGCTTTTGCCAAGCCATGAGCTCTTGAGTTCACGTCGGCCCGAAAACGCACAAGCTGCCGTATCATTCCACTGTCGCCGCTGAAGACTGCGCACATGAGGGCGTTCATGCTGCTGCGGTCTGTGGCAGCTTCCTCAAGGCTGGCGAATTGGAAAGCCTCCAGGAAGTCCTGTACGTCCCACTCAGAAGACTTCAGCCCCAACATCCTGGATTGATGTGCCAGGTAGAAGCGATAGGCATGCAGAGGCCCAGACTCCTTCCAATACTATACCGCAGCACTCATACTCTATATCCATGTATATATATATATATGTATATATTGATATTTATATTTATTTATTTATTTATTTATTTATTTATTTGTAGAGAGAGAGAGAGAGAGTTGCGATACCGTACCCTGTACACTCTGTAAAATACCCAGGACTCCTCCCACTAGCAGCAAGAGTTTGGCGAACTCACGAGATGTATGAATGCGATACGGACAATGGACGAGCCGCCCCGAGCAGGATTTTGT